GTGGCTATAGCATACGGGCCATGACTTCTAGTATGTGATTCCATTTTTGGAAGGGCAATCTAGGGATGTGCCAGATACTGTTTTGCCGGATATAGTCTACCAGTCAGGAGAAAATGATAACCGGATACTCCCATACAATAATTTATTAGAAACACAACATTTTTATAACTTAATTAACTAGTCCAATGTGGCAATGTGTTTAAAAATACAATAACCGGAACTTTAAGCTTTTTGTCTCTTTGACCTATTTGTCTTTACGAAGGCCATATCTTATGATTCACTTTACATTGTTTACTGGTATTCAGTATATAAAATTCACTGCTGTCGGCGAACAAACAGTTCACATCAACATTTGTGAACAACGTATGTCATAATTTCATCGTAATTCAGTGCACGCTCGGTAATTGTTTGTGTTTCACATATTTTTAACGCCCAGTAAACTTTTCTGTTTGATGGTTGTAACAATATATCTTACAGTACTATCCAGCAAATTTTTACCAGATTTCGGATAATGCTGGATGTCTAAATTTTACTGGATCCCGGTGTCCGGATCTGGCACATCCCTAGGGCAATCATTAATTGTGTACCATTGAAGTCAGATACTTGTTTTATTAAGGAATGTTTGGTTAGATACTTTTGCCACAATGTCAAGAATATTGTGTTGGTATATACAAGTGAGAGTGCTACCACTCAATGGGTTAACATTTGTTATTTGTTAATATTTATAGCTAAACCAGATCGCCGTTTAGTACTCTTCTATCTTGCCAATGACATCATTCAGAACAGTCGAAAGAAAGGGAAGGAGTTCTCACAATCATTCAGCAAAGTCTTGGGTGACGCTATGCAATATTTACGGTATGTGCTGGAAGATTTTCAAATAAATATAGTGCTCAGAATGCAGGGCTTCAAATTTCCTGTAGTAATGTACCCCTTTTTGGAAAATCTCCACTCCTAACAAATGAGACCAGATCTGCCCCTGATATATTCTAGACCTGCAGTTCCCTATCAAAAAACATCAGATAGATATCAATATTTCTGATAGACATTTATTATCAAACTGTCATAGAGGGACAAAGAATTGTTGTGGAATTGCCTCAGACTGAAACATATTGATTATTCATTCACAACAATTTGTCATTGTATAATTTATATCTAATTTCTGTTTTGTTGGCAATAATATCTAGGGATACTTCAATTCGACCATCTGTTGAGAGGGTGTTAAAAATCTGGCAAGAGAGAAAAGTATTTCAGAAAGATATGGTTCAGAAGCTACTGGACCAGTTGAATAATGGTACTGTTTCATGTTTGTTCTATTTCTTTAGTTCATACTGTGATATAATCTTAAACGATTGGCCAGTGTAGGTAGTGGCAATAATAAGAAAGCTTTAGATTGATAGGGATGCAACTACCTGAAAAAATACAAGCAGAACTTCAACGAACAACCTTCTTAGGGAAGCTCAAAATGTTGAAGTTCTCCTTGTATTTTTCAGGCAGTTGCATCCGCTTTCAAAGCTTTCATACTGTGTTATTCTGCTGCCCATTTTAAGTTGCAGTACCCACATATGCCCTACTTTATTATTTTACTCTGTCTAACTCCAGACAATTTTACTTGTCAAGGGGAGAGTGCTGTTAATTAAGGCCTGTTTACACCAGTGAACTGTAATAACACTGGAACGCTAACTGCAGATAAACATGCCCATACTTGCCTGAAGCCAAAATGGCGCTTCTCGCGAGCACGGCCAGCAATAAATTAACTTTCAAAAGGACTGGGGAGAGTTTTGAGGAGCGGGAAATTCAGTCAAAAGTTTGTTTTTGAGCGAAAATCAGCAAGAAAAAGTACTTTTTTATCAAAAGGCTTCAACTTTAAAGATTCAAACCTGGTTTCCTGGATAGTTCTAAGTATTTTACATCCACTAACAGCAAAAACGTCCTGGGTAACAGCTTGATATTCAAAATATTACACAAGTTTGAACGTGCCGAAAAAAACTTCGCACTTTGACTCCTGAAAAAAGAACTTTATAACTGTTCTGGAAACATGTTTTGTATTAAATTTCAGGTATTGTTGAAAGTTTTTAGCTTTTTTCCTTGTTGAAGTACAGCTATTTAGTGGTTGAAAACAGACATCTTTTTGGTGGCGTATTTTCCACTCCATACGTACATGGCGGCGGCCTTCAATTTGGCTTCAAAGATGGCCGCCAAGTTATCGTTCCAGTTCCCTTAGAGTTCACTGGAGTACATGTACCCTCATCTGAACATTCATAACTCATACACTCGTTCACATCCATCAGAACAAGAAAATAGCAGCACAAATTGCAAGTGTAAACAAGTCTTTAGGTAGAAAAAAATGTCACGTATATAATGTTGTATTTGTTTTTCAAATATATCAAATCCCTATCCACTGTAGTGTCTGCAAAACCTAAACCCAAACCAAAACCTGAAGTCAGTGTTCCTAAGAAGGAAAATGACAAGGTCAAGAAGGAAAAGAAGACTAAGCGTCCAGTTCCTGTAAATTTCAAGGTATGTATCATTTGTACAAATCTTTTTTGGTGGTTAGATCATGTGCCAGGATTTTATTTTATTTGCATGCGGAGGGCTTGGTTGTGTCCTGGTTTTTGCTCCTTCCATAAAATTGCCACTAGTGTTACTTGGTTATTTGATATCAATAATAACTACAGTGTCAATGTTGGCAGAAATAAACTGGATTTTGATAGTATCTTTGAGCATTTCATTTTTGAATGTACTTTCATTGTCACATCCTACATTACATACACCTTTTTGCCATCATAAACTTAGTTTTAGTTTAGTTTAACTGAACTTTTAGGAAAAGCAGTTTAGAATTATCCGTGTAGAATTATCTGTGTAGAATTATCCGTGTAGAATTATCCGTGTAGAATTATCCAGTATAAATACTATCACTAGATCTCCAGAAAGTTTACAGTTTAGAACTGATAGAGCTATCCAGTATAAATAAAGTTATTTTAGTTCATGGAAAACCTAAGATATATACTAATTGCTCGTGTACTGTATGTGTTAATTTTCTCATATTATATATTTTATTTCACTGAAGGCAACGAGTGTGACACGTGCTATAGCTACAATGCAGGGAATCGAGGAAGAGTCAGAGAGACGACAAACATTGGTGAATCAAATGAGATTGGATGCATCCAGTTCTGAAGGAATTAAACAACTGAAAGGTATAACATTTTTATTTGTAAGAAATTAATAGTAAAAAGTTATGGGTGCAAGAAGGTTATTTAATTTCGATAAGATATGATTTCAATGATTGGTAATTGACTTTTTCAGATTATGCTGGAGGAAACAGGTTTTCGTTGGAATTTGAGGAGTCAAGTACAAAATATGAAGATCTTTTTCAATCGCTGGAAGATGAAAGTCGACATCGTCAAGTTTTGGTCAACGTATTAGAAGATGGTGATGCTTACTACCAGGCCTCTTTAAAAGAAGCAACAATTATTGCAAACGTACGCAATTGTCTTTCTTCTCTCTATACTTTTCAAACTATCAGTTAACCATCATTTTTGTTCATTTCGCATTTCACTAATTTTTATGTTTGCTTTTTTCCCAGGCCTATCGTTCATTCGGCAACAGGTTACACTCAATGAAGAAGAAACTGGACAACAAAATTCGAAAATTTGCGACTGCAGAGAAAGAGGCCCCAGTTTCTGCTCCCAAAGCATCATTCCTTGCTTCAGGACTCTCGGGAATCTTGGAACAGATGAATGAAAGTCCTGCTGGAACGCCGAGCAGGTCGGAAACAGAGAAAAACGATGATGCGAAAGAAGGAGAAAAGGCAGACGGAAATGAAGGGAATGACAATCAGGACGAAGCTGAGGGGAAAATTGTTGATCCGAGTGTAGACCACGTGGAAGTTTCGGATATGGAACTCGATTCCGAATCTGAAAACGGAGGAGATGATACAGAACCTGGCGCTGCTCCACAATTGTCGGACACAAACTCAAGCACAAGTGCTGTATCAACTCCTAAACCTGTCCCAACTGGGTCAGCTGTGACCACCCTTTCACCATCTTTGAACATAGCTTCACCTTCTGTCCAACCCAAACCTCAATATGGTTACACAATGACTGTTAATAATAGTGAAGGGAATGAAACTAGTTCTCCTGCTTCACACAACTCGGCACCTTCCCCCGACGGTTCACCCGATTTGAACTTGGAAATCTACGAGGGACCTCCAGCAGCGAATGCTCTGCCCAGTGACCAGCTCGGTGTAATGACAAACCAAAGTTTCTTAGGCGGAGTTACCAACGAGCAGAAACCGGCAGCTGGTAGCCCTGGACCAAACACAATGAACTTGCTAGCACAACTGATGAACAAGCAATGGCGGAACGATGGTAGCTTTGTTGAAGGAGCAGATAGCCCTGGACAGGGTTCGAACACGTCAAACACACTTGTACAAGACGATAGCAATAGAGGACCACTTATAAATTTACTTGGAAACTTATTAAATCGGCCATTGGTTCATTCACAGGCAAATCAAGTTCTACAACAAGGGGAAGTAAACCAAAGTGGAGACCAGGTGGCGGAGGAGGGTATTCAACAAGAAGCTACCAACGTGGAATCATTTGATCCTGCTGTGGCTACAGATCAAGTTGAGTCCAAGTTGACAGATGTTGCAGAGGCAGCATCGAAGCATGACTCTGGGCCAAGCACAGACGAAGAAGGCGCTGCTGGAGACAACACGCCTGAACATGGCTTGGACTTCGCTCAAGCATCTCCAATCATACTACGATCAGATACATTGTTTCCCCATCCTCCGATTCCTCCCAATTTTTCTGGTCCTGGCCAAATGTTTCAAAATCGACCCCCTATGGGAAGCCCACCGTTCGTATCTCCTGACAGAATGCCACGGTTCCCTAATGAGCCTGGTATGTTTATGCGTGATGGTCCTCGAAGAACTTCCATGGAGGAACAGTTGATGGAAGAACAACACCTTAGATCACCTGGGATGAGATCCCCACGGATGCAAGGGCCGCCTATGGAATGGAATCGTGGGCCTCCATTTGGACCCCGGGGAAATGTTCAGCCTGTTAGAGAGAGTCGAGATCCGCGTCTACGTCGTCGTGAGATGATGGGTAGGTCTACGGAGGGTCCCCCTTTTATAGATAGGGTTCCTCCTATGGAGATACGAGGTAGACCCCCAGGAATAGGACATCCTGCTGATCGGGATGGGGTTCCAACGTTTATGGAAAGACAGGGACACGATATACGGAGGGAAGAGATGGAGAGAGAGGAAATGATACGAAGACGTCTATCGGTGGGTGATGAAAGAGATGGCCCTATATCTATAGAAGAAAGGCGTATTTGGGTGATGGGGGAAGGTCGCCCTCCAATGGAAATGAGACCAGAACTGCATGGCGAGAGGAGGGAGGGACCTTTCCCTTTTGAAAGGCATCTTGGTGTGGAAATAAGAGAAAGTTTCCATCCTATCGAAAGACATATAGATGGATCCTTACCTTTAGACAGGAGGGAAGGCCCTCACCCTCTTGAGTTACGGGGTGGTCCTCCACATATGAGGGGAGACATGAATCATCCAGTAGATAGACGCCATCCCATACATCCCATGGACAGACCAGACTTACCTAGAGAAAGAAGAGAACCCCTTCCCTTTGACCCCAGGGGGCCACCCATGGACAGGACAGAACCCCACCACTTTGAAGCTAGGGAACCACCTGTTGATCATCCCATGGATAGACCTGACTGGCATCCAACAGAGTCCAATCCATTTGACCAAAGAGGACCACCTATTGAACAACTAGATGGTTCCCACTCAACAAGGGGACCAGCGTTCGATGGCCCCCACCCAGTGGGACATCAAAATGAATTCCATCTTCTTGAAGGCGCTCCTGACGAAGTCCCTACGTCGGAGGAAGAGTTACCTGATGGTGAGGACCGTGGTGATAAATCTACAGTAGGGGTTATGCCCCAGGAACAAAATCCTGGGGAGGTATTCCCCGAGGGTGGGGACGAACGTCCGCCAGTACATATACACGAAGGACCACACCCAAAACTGGACAAACCTGACGATTTGCATAATGAAATGAAGTTTAACCAAACTGAGGGTCCACGTCAGAATGAACAATTAGGTGGACCAATGTTCCGCCCTGGTATGAGACCCCAACTAAGACCCTTGGACGAACGGTCTATGTTTGATATTCGACCAGAATTTCACATGGACGACCGTGGTCCAGCGTTTGGACCTCCCGGACGAAGAGACGATAATAGACCCATCCGGCCTATCGGCGGTCCGTTTGGGCCTCGCCATGAAGGACGGGGACGTTTTCCAGGTCCCCGAAACTTTCATCCGAACTTTGGACCCCGACATTTTAGGCCTCGTCATGAACATGAAGGTGGTCGGCCTCGCTTTCACCCCATGCGTGGTGGCCCTCGTTTAAAACGACCTGGACCACGCTTTCATCCAGATCCTGCTAAAAGACCGCATTATTGAAATACAAACGTCGTGATTGATATTTTAATATTAATTTAATCTGGATTAAAATGAGCCAGATTATCAGTTGATTGTATGTAAGCAATTGTATCATACATGTCTATTCGCTATGCTTTTAAATATAGAGTTTTAACTATGATTAAATAGATCCAATGTTCTGTGAGTCTGTTTCCCACCTCAAAAGTTTCACTCTAGAATTATAGCTACCGGTTTCATTACTTTGCGGCTGAAGTGGGCAACTGGCATTTTGGTTTGAAATCACAGTAGGTATTATGATTATATATAGATAGATAGATTTTACTTGTCAAACTTCTTTGACGGGTAAAATCGTCTGGCGTTAGAGTAAAACAATAAAGTTGGTTGCGTTTTTTAAAAAGACACATTGGCAAATAGTTTGTTAACCCATTTGTAGTGTGCAAGACTCTCCTCTTGACGAGTAAAGTTGTCTGGCGTTAGACCACAGTTATTAACTGTGGTTAGACAGAGTGAAATAAGTCGGTGGCGTTTGGGCGCTTTGCGACTCAAAGAGTTGAAAAGCACTGTATGTTGATCAATACAAATTTGCGTGCCAATGTCGCGAGATTTCCTCTATTCGTGCGCGCTGTGCGTGTCGTGTCTTGCAGCAAAGGTTAAAATGTTGAGCCCGCAGATCAAAATAAACATTTTGGAACTTTGGAACTTTTTGCAAGAACATGGTAACATTTTTCTGGAATAAAAATATAGTTGAATGGTGCGTTTATTTTAATGTTTGTCGTCGTACAAAAACTATAATTCTCTTATTCAAACAATATTTCTCAATGCACACAGTGAAGTTGTTTAAATTAATCTTGCCCAGTATTGAAATAATTTGAAGTCCAAAACGGCCAAAACTCGATATTTTTGCCTTTTAAAATTAGATTTTCCGTTTGGCACGTTATGTGTTTGCCAGCAACCAGATCCAACGAGTTCCAAGTCAGTTTTTCAAGCCGAAATCGCTGATAGCAGTTCGAAATGTTTGCATCCACAATTTGACCGACGAAATGACTTCAAAATCTCATCCTTTAGAGGTAATTTAGAGTATATATTTATAGAGAATAAAGTTCTCTACTGTAGTTCTCAAATTTCTGCGAAATTTTGCGAGAGATGACAGAAATTTTAGCAGAATAGTAAAATGATCACACGACGAATTATCGCTGCATCAGCAGTATGTGTCGAAAGCGTATGCGCACACCACACAAAGTGAAAGGGCTTCGGTCGCTGTTTGGGTGAATTTTCCAAACAATTGTGAAGATATTTCGCTTTGTTTTGCTTTAATTCGCTTGCTAAGATGGACAACGTCGAAGCAAAGATGGAAAATTTAAATGTAGCGAATAAAAAAGCGAAAGAGGGGAAGAAATCAAAGGGAAAGAATGAGTGTTGTGACGTTAAGTTAGAAGTAGGTCGAAATTTAAAACCATTTGTTTATATTATAAAATCAGGTTGATATACAGTATCTTTTAATTAAAAAGTTAATGATTGATCCTGTAGCAACAAGCTTTAAGTTGTATTTGTCAAGAAATAAAGGTAATATGAAGTTGTTTTAGTCGTGTGATAGAGGGGGGATTTTAGTTGTACAAACTAGAAATTTATATGTTTATTTATATTCCCACGTGGACAGCCCATATACCAAACACAAATCATCATTGCTGTCATTGTTTATAATATTTTGGTAGTTTGAGAGGTGTTTAGTTGGTTTTAATGAAATAGTGCTTGTACTGATATGGGAAGTGTAAAGGTTTTAACTCGGTGTATTTCAGTATTATTTGCAATTTTGTATGAATCCATGTTGCATCAGCTTTTCAGCTGACCTTTATTATCATAACATTGGCCTGAACATTGTCTGTGCCCACGTGAAACTTTTGTGTTTGTGAAGTGGGCTTAAACGGTTTTAATCTGTTCAGCCAATCATGTTTAAGTATAGCCTTGCACTGATTGGCTGGAGCTAATTAACATGTGCAAATATTTCTTAGAAATATTGAAGTTTCTCATGAAAAATCTGTGATTAACCGTCTGGAGATGCAACCAACCATATCTGATACAATGGACCTTTCCCCTTATAACTAAAATTTTGATCTAGACAAAAATTTTGTCACAGCATGAAAGAGCATCACAAAATTAGTAATATTCCAAGGTTTCGTTGCAAAATGTTGTAAAATGCGGATAATATAGCCTTGCGAAATGTGCCGTTTTTCAGTCATTTTGTATTACACATGGGAAATTGACAGCCCAATCGGGTGTTGGGGCATGTCTGAAAATTGCAAGTTTCGTAGGGCTATATTTTCCGCATTTTACAACATTTCGCAACGAAACTTTGGAATATTACTAATTTTGTGATGCTCTTTCAAGCTCTGATGAAATTTTTGTCTAGACTTGTTTAGATCAAAATTTTAGTTATAAGGGGAAAGGTCCATTTAGTCATAAATATGTGATTCTTACTTAGTTATGTCATAGAATATTAAACGTTCAATAAACAATCGTGCTTCCTGTGATGAACAAAATTGTCTGCTGTTTAATAGACAGCAGGGCTTTGCTTGACAGTTAATTGCACCCTACTTTATTATTTTACTCTGTCTATAAACACCAGACAATTTCACTCGTTAAAGGGAGAGTCACTCGGTGGGTTAAATTAATTTAACTTATTGAATTATTTATTAGAATAATATTTAATTATAATAATTAAATTAAATTAATAAAATTAAAAAATAATTAACAAATAATAGAATAAATAATTTGTGAATAATTAATAATAATAGTTAAATAATAGAAAATAATTGAATTAATTAATAAATAATTAAATTGATCAATATCTAATTAATAATTATTATAATTAATTAAATACTAATTAATTAAAATTTGTTTAGTTAAAATTTTCATTTAATAAATTACATGTTAAATTTTAACATTCTTAGCTGGACCCACCTCCAGAGTTTCTGGCTGAAAGAATTCAGATGTTTGAACGGTTGAAAGCAGAATATGATGCTTCAGTCGCTGGTAACTTTGTATATATTCATACATTCATCAGTCTATATTTCATTAAATTTAAAATTTAAAAGTCTACATATTAAATGTTTATTCCAGCCAAAGCCACTGAAAACAAGCCAATAAAGATCACATTACCTGATGATAAACAGGTTGATGGTGTCGCTTGGAAGACAACCCCTTACAAAGTTGCTGCTTCAATAAGGTAAATGAGTCTGAGCTTTTTGACTGAAATATAAAACAACGGTAACTCCGAAAATAAACATTTTAATAATATTCTAGCTTTCGACTAAGATTCAGTCATCATCAGGAATGATGCTAGGTTACATTACATCGATATATATATATAGTGAAGATTAAGTAATTTGATATGTACAGAAACGATTAGTTAAATATTACAAGTTCTTTTGATGCCTTAGTTCCGTGATTAAGATCAGGTTTAAGTCGTCTAATGGCAAGTGCTTCCTTAAATAGCAATAAGGACCAATGATCAGCTCTGTCATGATCAGCTCTGTCTCTCGCTGATCATTGGTCCTTATTGCTATTTAAGGAAGCACTTGCCATTAGACGACTTAAACCTGATCTTAATCACGGAACTAAGGCATCAAAAGAACTTGTAATATTTAACTAATCGTTTCTGTACATATCAAATTACTTAATCTTCACTATATATATATATATCGATGTAATGTAACCTAGCATCATTCCTGATGATGACTGAATCTTAGTCGAAAGCTAGAATATTATTAAAATGTTTATTTTCGGAGTTACCGTTGTTTTATATTTTATTAAAATACTCAGTGGTTCCCGTAATTTTTGACTGACAGTCTGCACTTCTTGAAATCTCATATGGTACTTTAAAATAAATCTTTAATTTTTAATATTTTGTTTTCTTTAGCCAGGGGTTGGCAGACCATACTGTCATTGCAAAGGTATCAATATGAGCTATTTATCAATATCATATTTACTCAGTGATGGATTTAGGGGGGTGCGGGGGTGTGCACCCCCCAGGCTCTGGTCAACAGGGGTGCATGGGGTGTGCAAAAATAACGTTTATCCCAATTCTAACCAACTTATGTTAAGGAATTCAGTTGCGTATCACTAGTTGACAATAGCGGAATAGCCAATATTAAATATTCTGAATTTTAAATGTTTTGAGAATCTAAAAATTTTCCAGAATGTTTTCTCAGAATGCTGCAAATGCCATTTCAGAGACCAAATTTTAAAAATTTTTCTGGGGAATATGCCCCCGGACCACCCTGGAAATCTTGCGCCTTTGGCGCTTGTTTCGCCATTGGTTAGCACCCCCCCCCCCCCAAAAAAAAACAACTTTGCTGGATCCATCACTGAATTTACTTGAGATTTGGACCTTCTAAGTATAATTATTCTGTATTTCTAGGTGAATGGCGAGGTGTTTGACTTAGACCGACCATTGGAGGGTGACTGTAAACTGGAACTTTTGAAATTTGATGACAAAGAAGGTATAGTTATTGGGATGATAATGAACATCACCCCTCTCCCATCATCACCACTACCATCAACACCACCACCACCATCATTGTGACCATCACGGTTGCCAACTGATATCACCATCACAGCCACCAATTACTGGTATCACTAGCATCACCGCAACCACCACCGTGATCACCATCAGTGCTCCCACTCCCACAATCATCGTCACTGGTCACCATCACCACTACCATCACAGGCACGGATTTTCTGGGGGGTGCAGGGGGCTGCGCACCCCCAGAAATGATTTGCACCCCCCCCCCCAGAGGCATTTGGCACCACCCCCAAAAGTTTTTGCACCCTGCAAATTATATCTATTTTGATTTGATAGTTTCATATTTGATTATTCTTACTACTAAATTTGTAAAATTACCAATATTATTGTCTCAGATCTCGCCATGCAGGCCTAGAAAACAGATTTTGTTAAACCTTTTCCTTGGCTTTTTCGGGCATAGCCACCACGCCCCGGCCAAAGCAAGCAGCAGCACCCCCCCCCCCAGATATTTTTCCACCCCCCCGAACGAAAATATGAAAATCCGTCTCTGTTAACCATCATCAGCACCTTTGTCACCACTACCATCATCATCATTTACCAATAGTTCACATTTCATATACCAACAGGTCAGCAGGTATTCTGGCATTCAAGTGCTCATATCATGGGTGAGGCTATGGAAAGACATTATGGCGGATTGCTCTGCTATGGTCCTCCCATTGAAGAAGGTTTTTATTACGACATGTTCTTGAATGAAAGGTAAAACCTAGTATTCAGTATCGATAAATTAACCGTAGTTTAGTTTCCTCCTGTAATAAAACAGTACACCAAAGAAATGGCCTTCACAATTAAGGCATCCAAAGCTTTTAAAACTATCAAAATGGCAATAATAATAAAAAATAATAATAATAATAATGGTTTAATTAATAGCATTTTCACATTGTGGCTATTCTATGCTACAAAAGGTTACATGCACACATTATGACAACATTAAATTACTACAATATTATAGTATATTTAATAGAGACCTTTACTTTACAAGAGATAATCAAACGACAAAAACGAAACGAAACAATGGACACATTACGTAACAATATAAACACATTGTATTTCATACTAAATGTTGCTAATCCTGTTCATTGCTAAGTCTCTGAAATGAGCGAAACAATTTCGGCAACACTCTCTAAAGTAAATATAAATAATAAAAATAATAAATAATATAAATAATCTAAAAAAAAAAAATAAAAAAATAAAAAAGTAATTAGTTAATTAACTAATTAATTAATTATTTTTTTTATTAATTAATTATAAATAATCTAATTTTCTGACTATTTTTTTCTTCAGACAAGTATCGAGCAATGATTTCCCGAGCTTGGAAACAATCATAAAAGGGATTGTGAAAGAAAAACAGGAATTTGAAAGACTTGAAATGAAAATAGAAGATCTGTGTGAGATGTTTAAGGTGAACACACACATTGTGTATTTGTATTGGTGGGACGTAGCATTCCAGGACAGCAAATGAAATCACTGCAGAAATATTAACACTTATAGGTTGAGCGAGAACATTTAACTTCATCTCTCAATTTTTTTATTGCCCACCAAGCACAAGACACACATTTATTTTCTCACTGTCATAACTACCACCACCCACTGGCCTGTAACTATTGCTAAAATGTCTAAAATTACACACACACCCCCATATACCCAGTTTCAACAAATCTGTGAAACAAGTTACAATCTGTGAAACTGGTTATATTACTGTATGAGATGCAGTAAATAAGATGTCTAGGTGTTCTTTCATCTAGTACAATCCATTCAAATTGCGAATAATAAAGGAGAAAGTTAAAACGCCAACTACTACTGTATACAGGTAAGAGTAAGCTATGTTTGTTCAATCATTATGAATTTTGTATTCCATTAAAGTGGCTTTAACCCAGGTTGACAATCTTGCCATGATCCCAGCAAGATCCCTGAATTCTATTATAGAACTGTTATAATCTTTGTTTTAGATGTGGGCCGTTAATTGATCTATGTCGGGGCCCACATGTACGCCATACTGGGAAGTGTAAATCTATTGCTCTTACAAAGGTATGATATGTCTGTTTTAAAAACAGGTTTTCCAACAAACAGCAATCTTTATAGGAGATACAACTACCTGAAACATACATGTACACAGAACTTCGACGCTTTGAGCAATTTAGACACTTCATCAGGAAGTTAATTTTGGGACAAAGAAATTCATTTCCGTATACCTGTAACTTAAACTTCCTGACAATTTTTGTATTTGTTCTCTTTTTTATAGAATTCTGCCACCTATTGGGAAGGTAACTGTGAAGCCGAATCTCTACAGAGATTATACGGCATTTCATTTCCTCAAGATAAACAAGTAATTTTTCTTCCTTATTACGTCCTTGACATATGTATACCTTGAATGGGACATTTAATCAAGATTTATTTTATTAATTAATGTTTTTACGTAAATTTCTAGTTGAAAGAATGGAAGAAATTCCAGGAAGAGGCTGCAAAGAGAGACCATCGCAAAATTGGACAGGTATTATGTGTTTTTTATGGCACTGTGATTAGTAATTGTGTTTTTCATCTCTGTGATATGCATTTTTCTGACCATAATTTTGTCTGAGTCGTACAATAGCCACTGTAGCAATGCTGGACGATTAAGTGACCGCCCTTTATTAGAGCTATCCAGTATAAATAATGGTAGTTTAGGTTTCCTCCTGTAGTAACACTAGACCATTACTGACCTTACTGTATCTCAGGGGATTGAGCTTTTTCAGTATAAATAATAAAAAGTTTCCATTTCATATAAATAAATTCATTTGATTATTTTTAGGAGCAAGAGTTGTTTTTCTTCCACGATTTAAGTCCAGGCAGTTGTTTCTTCCTTCCCAATGGAGCGCACATCTATAACACGTTGATTAATTTCATTAAGGTAAAATCTTGCATCGCACATGCCGTATAAATCCAAGTGAGATTTTGTTGGAAAAATCTTATCTACAATTGTTTGTAAGCATTCAAACTGTGTGTTTCATTCTACAGGAAGAATATTGGAAGCGAGGTTTTCAAGAAGTGGTGACACCGAATATCTACAGTACCAAACTATGGGTGACGTCAGGCCATTGGCAACATTATTCTGAAAATTTGTTCAAATTTGAAGTGGAGAAGGAGGCTTATGCTCTCAAACCGATGAACTGCCCAGGGCATTGGTAGGTTGTGTTGTGCACCTTACCACCATACACTATATGGTAAATACACCATACACAGAAGCCACCAATCCCCCAAATGGAGTTTTTTATGTTTTACCCTCATTGTTTACAACTGTCGATAAGTTGATGATATTTTCTTCAGTCTTATGTTTGATCACCGACCTCGTTCGTGGCGAGAGCTTCCACTACGCATGGCTGACTTTGGGGTACTTCATCGTAACGAGCTGTCAGGCACATTGAGTGGCCTAACCAGAGTAAGACGTTTTCAACAAGATGATGCTCATATATTTTGCACCATGGAACAGGTGATGCTAATATATTTTATTCTAACTTAAAAGTAAACATATGAGTGTTAACCCATTGAGTGGCAGCACTCTCCACTTGACGAGTAAAATTGTCTGGCGTTAGACAGAGTTGGGCGCATCAGGTGCATTGCCACTTAAAGGGTTAAGAGGATGCATGGGCATGTTTGGTTAACCCATTGAGTGGCAGCACTCTCCACTTGACAAGTAAAATTGTCTGGCGTTAGACAGAGTTGGGCACATCAGGTGCATTGCCACTTAAAGGGTTAAGAGGATGCATGGGTATGTTTGGTTAACCCATTGAGTGGCAGCACTCTCCACTTGACGAGTAAAATCATCCGGCGTTAGACAGAGTAAAATCACAGTTAATAAAAGTAGGGTGCATCAGGGTGCATTGCCACTTAAAGGGTTATTAATGAGCTAAAAGTTGAATGGTTTACTTTATCTCGGCATCACATGAACTTGTGGTTAGAGCTCGACAACTGGCCTCTGTAGCTCAGTTGGTTAGAGCACTGCACCGGAATCACAGGACCGCAGGTTCGATTCCTGCCAGAGGGTCTATAGTTGCAATTGTATAAAATTTTCTACTCAAAATTTTCATCTACAACCACCCTTCAACTCTCAGTTCTCTCACACAAGATGTTCAAAAATCTCTGTATTGTTCAACCTTTCATAATCGCATGCATTTTGTTGTTTAGATCCCTGATGAAATTGATGGATGTCTAGATTTTCTCCGCGCTGTTTATGACACGTTTGGCTTCACCTTCAAAGTCGAACTCTCCACAAGACCTGAAAAATACATGGGAGAATTGGAGAAATGGAATGACGCTGAAAAAGTAAGATATCCTGTTGTAAAACTCAATAATTCACAGTGGCGAAGCTAGCCACAGGTCATGCAATGGAAATTTTTAATGATTTGCATTATTCAAATGTTTGGAAATGTATTGTCTTTATCCTATTTAGATGCAGATTTATTAGCATAGCACGACCAGTTACCATGGCTAGCTTTGCCACTGATAGTTCATGAAGAAAATTCAGAAAAAATGAATGTTTAATGTTGTATCCACATGCACAAAATTTTCCTCATTTTCACAATCTTTCTCCTCGATTTTCTCAGTTAAAATCATTTCTGTTTTAAAATTGTTTAATTAAATCCTTGCTTCTCACAAGCTTTTACAATATGGTCTCATGCTGTATATATTATACTTGTACCCTAACGTACCCCCATGCCTTGCTATAGTGGATCATTACTTGTACCTTAACGTACCCGCATGCCTTGTACTACTAGGTCTAGTGGACTTTGTAATGTGCTAGGATCCTACAATGGACCATAGTAGTGATAGCACTATAATCTACAGACGTGTCAGGCTATCATTTTTTTTTCATTCGCCTTTTTGTAATTTCTAGAAACTTACTGCCGCTCTGAATAAATTTGGTCAGAAATGGGAAATTAACCCAGGAGATGGAGCTTTCTATGGACCAAAGGTAAAACATGATTTCCTTGAACTGTCTGTGCCAGTCTAGGTAATGCCAATAAAATGAACAAGCTTTCCTTGGTAGGGATGAAACTTCCTGAAAATATATAAGGAGAATTTCGACGTTTCGAGCGAAGGCCCTTCCTCTGGAGTTACAGTAGGGAGTTTACGATCTACGACGCGGCCGGCTCGATGACGCGCTTTCAAAACAAGGAAATTTGGTGTTTCCACAAACAATAGTATTATATGTTTTATTGCCATGCAAACCTACAAAGAACTTACAAAGAAATTTGTCATGCAAGACAAAAACTGTGAATAATTCGTGGTCCCAGGAGTATTGTCAACCGCGTTGTCATTCTCAACACAACGTTAAACAAACATTATTACATCTTTCAGTCAACGTGAAAGCTTAATGCGACCTAAGAGGTGTTACTTAAAGTCGAAATTACAGCAAACATTGCATCGCTTCAGCCGAACGTAGCAGTTTGTAAGGTTATTTGAAAAAGCGTGAAATATTTTTTACAGTAATCAAATTGCTTACCGCTGATTCTTGAGCTGAAATTTAGACCGCGTCGTTGAGCCGGCCGCGTCGTAGATCGTAAACTCCCTAATAACTTCAGACGAAGGGCCTTCGCTCGAAACGTCGAAATTCTCCTTATATTTTTCAGGTAGTTGCATCCCTATCAACGAAAGCTTGTTTATTTTATTTTCTTGTTCTAGAACGTGTCCGCGATTACGTACCTATTTTTTTACAAATTTTGTTAATAGATCGATATTCAGATTCTGGATGCATTGAGACGTTCTCACCAATGTGCTACCATTCAACTTGACTTCCAGTTGCCTGAACGATTTAATCTTTCCTATGCAAGGTATGTTGGAGTAAGGCTATCATTGCCAAATAATGGACTTCCTGACCTTGTATTTCTAAAAATCATTAAAAAACGCATTAATAATTCATCAGGAAAATTCAAAAGAAAAGAATGTTTAATCAATATTTGTAAATCGGATAAAGATTTGTCCTGATTTACATAAACGTCAGCTATGATTTTCTCGGCTTAGACAATGTTTATTTTTAAAATTACTTCGCCAATGAACTCATAAGATTGGTCGTTTTTTAAGCACGTTAAGTCCGTTCTCCACTAGGCGAATTTTTTCGCGCGACGCGAAGCGAAAAACAAATTTTGGCAATATGATTGGTCACCGAAAAAATTCGCCGCGAAAAAGTTGAACAAAAGTATCATTCGAATTTGGAGCTACCTGTAGCCTCCTTGCGGTTGCTCATTTGAGTTGGGCCAGGCCGGCTAGCCGGGATGAAGCGTCTCACGAAATGTTTTCCTGACCATAAAAGATATCGTTTGAATGAACTTTATACTGTTACTAGAATCAAACTAAGTTAATTCAACTTTGAAATGTCATTTTGGATGATTATCAAAGCCGTGGTAAAAACTTTATTGAACGAATCATTCCCCTGTTAACCGGACCAGCCTGGCTTCATGGCGTCCTAACTTCTGCAGTCATGATGTAATTTCCTGATGAAATATTGATGTGTATGAAATTTTGAAATTATTTTCTGTAGTGGCGAAGGAGACGAGAAACAACGACCCGTTATCATTCATCGTGCTATCTTGGGTTCAGTAGAGAGAATGATCGCCATTTTGACAGAAAGTTTTGGTGGCAAATGGTAAACAGCGCAATAGAAACATTTGTCTTGAAAAGTTGTTTTTGTGTGTTGAGAAGTTCATTGGGGTTTTCTGTGATCTTGATTTTAGGCCATTGTGGCTGTCCCCACGTCAAGCAATTGTTGTTCCTGTTAGTAATAAATATGATCATTATGCAGAACAGGTAACTATGATTAGACTAGAGATATATCTCAACACCAACACTATCATTACCCTACCATTATTACAACACCATCATCACCATTCTATCATTACCCTACCATTATTACAACACCATCATCACCATTACATCACCACCATCATCATCACCATCACACCATCATCACCATTACATCACCACCATCATCATCACCATCAGCATCATCATCACCATCAGCATCATCACCATCAGCATCATCACCATCATCATCATCACCATCAGATCAGCATCATCACCATCAGCATCATCACCATCATCATCATCACCATCAGATCAGCATCATCACCATCAGCATCATCACCATCAATCATCACCATCACCATCAGCATCATCACCATCATCATCACCATCAGATCATCATCATCCACTATCAATACCATCATCACCATGCTAAAAGAATTTTTTGAGAGTTTAAAATTTTGTGTTTTCCAGGTGCAAAAGAGACTTCACGATGCTGGTTATCATGTTGATACAGACCTCGACCATGGCTGTACGTTGAACAAGAAAGTCCGCAATGCTCAACTGGCTCAGTATAATTTTATTCTTGGTGAGTTTGTAGCATAGGGTTGTGAAACCCTTACACATTCGGTTCTTTGTCCCCAAACGCTGCATCGGGAGGGGCAACCGGTGTTTAGGACCTTTGTTAAAGTGCCTATGACACGAAATTTCACCCCAAATGTTTATGATTGCATTGTAAAGATCACTTAAAATGACTTAATAATATCTTTTATAAAATTTCGGTAACTTGCTTCCTTTTCAAGATATTCAACTTTGTTTCATCACATCACATAATGAGTTTTCAGAAAAGTATAATTTTCTTGACGAATACATATCTAAAAAAAACTTTAAAAATTGCCCTTGTATATGTATTAATTTCATAGCTAGTAATTAACCCTCTGTATTTGTTTGTAAAAATATTTTATCAAGGTAAAATATTGCGTTTTCAAAATGTCATTATGCGATGTGATGTCACACCGGTGATATTTGCATATGAAACAAAGTTGAATATCTTGAGAAGGAAGCAAGTTACCAAAATTCTATAAAAGAAATTATTAAGTCATTTTAAGTGATCTTCACAATGCAATCATAAACATTTGGGGTGAAATTTCGTGTCATAGGCACTTTAAATGTAGTCGAAATCATTAGATTAGTTGCATTGCATTGTCTGTCTCTTGCAGTGGTCGGAGAAAAGGAAATGACGTCAGAGACGGTCAACGTGCGTACACGTGACAACAAGGTACACGGCGAGAAGTCGGTGACGGCCGTTATCGAACGCTTCCGAGAACTGATTCAAACCCGAAGCCGCACGAGCGAGGACGATCTTTAAACAATGTCAGTATTTAAGTTAAGTTACGAATTGTGAAAAACGCCGTTGCAAACATTTAATTGCAGGCAAAAAATACAGAAATAAATTTTTTTCAATTGTATTTACCGCTGAGGCCTGTTCAGCTCACTCCCCAACGGGGCTTTTCATTAACCGATTACATCAAGTATTACGCTTACTTGTGTTGCTTATACTTAGCCTATAGACTATTTTATCTTTACAACAATTGTGATATTACTTTCCTAACTATGTTTATCCTAACCCAGCCTGTCAACTTTCCCTGTGGGAGAAAACCCACGACTTTCGGCAGAGCGTTGACTGACTCTTTTCACATGAGTCCGTAGCGAGACTCGAACCCAGGACCTCAGAGGTGAAAGACGCTTGCTTTGACGCCTGAGCCACCGAAGCCTGTCACTGTAAAGTGACGTACATGCAATGTGGTTGTAGCTTTGTGCTCGAGAATTATGTATAAGAAAACTTGCGGTTCGCTCTCTCCTAGATGCTCCATGTCCCCTGGTTTTGTTCCCTCTCCAAAAACTTTGTCATGTTATGGTTTCTGAAAACTATTGCTTTGCATCTTAAATAACTGTAAATGGTCAAGCTAAATACTGCAGATCACCAAGACCACTGCCCCCAGTAAGAATGATAATAATAAGAAGAAAATGTCTATAGCGCAGATACATTACTGCATGTTCTATGCGCTAAGAAAATTCACTGCTAAGTAATGATCGTAGACCACTGTCTCCCAATAAGAGTATTCAGTGCAAAAATTTGAATCAAAACTTGAGTAAAATAATCCACAGTGGCTCAAAATATCGAGTAAAATTACCTTATGAGAAAATTTACCCAATTATTTAGTAAATTTTTACTCACAAATTTGCTCAATAAATTTGAGTAATGTTACTATGTTACTCAAAATCTTCAGTCAGTTTGCAAAGTGTTTCAATAAATCGTGCCAATTGTACAACCCTGACACTGATGAGAAAACGTTATCGTCACAATTCACTAGCTTTGAAAATGTTTGTAGAATATTTTAATTTTAGATCTCTGCTAGATATTGTTTTTAAGCGGTCAAATCTTGTTGAAGTGGAAAGGTACTGTTTGATTAAAGAACTATATTGTTCACAATTGTATCTTGAACGTTCTAACAATAGGTCACTGCATGAAGCAATATTGCTAAAAAAAACACGAGGAAGAACCTGCTTAAATCTAGTATAAAGTTATTTCACTTTAGGTTTCCTCCTGTAGCGACACTGGACCGACAAGTGTTGACCTTTACTGGTTCTCTAGAGAGAACAGTTATAGAACTGATAGAGCTATCGAGTATAAATATAAGTTAGTTTGTTTAGGTTTTGTCCTTTATAGTAACACTGGATCGATAAGGCAACCCTTACTTGGACCTCTAGGGAGAATAGGTTAGAACAGATATAGAATAACCCAGTATAAATAAAGTTAGTATAGTTCAGGTTTCCTCCTGTGGTAACACTGGATCAATAAGAGATGACCCTTACTATAGACCTCTAGGGAGAACAGCTTAGAACTATAATAGAGCTATCCTGCAGTATAAATAAAGTTAGTTTAGTATAAGTTTCCTCGTGCAGTACCAACACTGGTTCAATAAAAGTTGACTTCGAGTAGACCTCTGGGAAGAACAGTTTAGAACTGGTTGATATCCACTAATCACTATAAATAAAGTTAGTTTAGGTTTCGTTCGGTAGTAATACTGTGCGATTAAGAAATAACTACATGATTTCTATATAGGGAAGACAGTTTAGAAACGATTGAACTATCCACTACTAATAAAGTTAGTTTCGTTTTGAGCGGGTGCCTTTGTAATGTACAATGTTTAAATTTTAGGTCGCTGCTTGAAGGCACGTTGTCTTGCATGGGCCAAAGACCTTGAGGCTATCCGCCAAGGACGGACATTAAATACCTGCAGAATGACAGCGTGAGGAAACCCACTTACAGTGAGTACCAGCATGAGCATGTATGCATTGTGGTCTGGAGGCTAGGATTGACCTTAGATTACCGGCAATTGGCAAGGCTTTTACTTCATGCCTTTTCAAGTCTTTGTGTTTTGCACGTTAGAGCTATTTTTGTAGTTGTTCATGTTATTTTTGAATTTTCATGAATAGGGCCATCAGAGTTAAAATTAAAATGATCTCATGCATAACATTTGAAGGAGAACTTGAAATAAACTACTTAAGCAGTTAAGGATTTATAAACCGAGTTTCTTTCAAATTTTGCACTGGTCAGCACACGCAAGAGGTCAATCGCGACGTTGAAGCATAAATTTCATAAAAACGTTGATTTAGATTAATTTTATGAAGCGTATCACTCTCTCAAGAGAGGCTTCTGATTTTAACGTGCAAATTTACAAGTGTTCTGGATAGCGTGACTAAGTGTAACAAACGAAACCTGTTATATTTATTGTTATTTTAAACATCTTTCTGGAAAAGTTAAAAGCAAAATTGACCGCTATAGGCTGCGAAAAAAATCTGGCAGGATTTGGGGCATCTTACAGCGAGGTCTGTCACACAGGCTAGGGCATCTCATTCGATAGAAAAGATGTTCCAATATTATATGACATTCAAAGGCAAAGCTATATTTATGCAATTTTTTGTGATTGATTTATTCAAGCATAAACATGATTGAACTACACTTATCTTTGCAATAACATTAAATTCATAATTATGTACTGTCAGTACTGAAGAAAGAATTTTCCTTCAACGTAAAACCAACCGTCCAGCCCAAATTATTTGGACCAAATAAGATCCAGGCTTACAGATCGAAGGCTTTGCCAAATGTTTTCATACAATGAAACAGCATTATTTCCGTCATGCAAAATTTCTTATGTGTAAAGTGTAGCTTTAATATTGAAAGCATGAAGTATAAAGTTGGTTAATTAGCATTTTTCACGTCGCCATTTTTGGGTGGCATTTCAGCCGACGTCTGCGAGATAAGTCCACATAACAGCGACTTTTTATCATTTTTTTGACGAATGATGGTAAATTTGCTTTGTAAATGGCTAGTTTATTTTGAGAAATTGCTTTCCATATTGTTTTAATTGTCTGCATTGGTTAACGAGAATTGGATGCCACCCAAAAATGGCGGATATTCGTCATCATGAGAAAGGCTATTTGAAATCACCACCAGTTGCCCAGAAAAAGCGTGAGCTCCAAGTGAGATTTAAACCCCCGAACTCTCCACTGTTTGAAAAGACGCTCTAACCACTTAAAATGAGATGAATTTTGATTTTAACTTTCTATGTCAATATAAAAATAATTTCAGTAAATCTGAAACCATGCGGTGCGCTATATTTAAAACAATGCGCTAATTTTCTTCAACCACATGACGCCATTTATCAATATTGTCTTGATTTGAAAGGATTACTGGTGCTCCAATTATGCCAGGCAAACACATAGACGTGATATTAGTTTTTCAAATAAATCTTAATGTCTGTTATTAAAAATGACAGGAAACGTTCACCAAAATCCGTGTTTCAAGCTATTACATGACCTCGTTAATATTAACATTTCGGTGACAATATTAGATTTAGAAATAAAACATGTCATACTTGTTCCTGAAAAAATAGTTCAGTCTCAAGAATTTCGTAGACTATATATAGTGTATACACTGTATTTAAGTGGGGTGTGCCCGTTATCTTTTCTTGCAACTGAGAACTAAGCTGAATTACAAAGGACACAGCTCGATCTGATCGAGTCGAAGGCTTTGTAAGAGCGCCTATAGCAGCCAGCTTATGACTCGTGACGGTTGAAGGGTCAATTAGGGACTTACCTCAACCCGCCCTGTCGACATTCTTAAACTATAAAGTCTAGTTTACACTATCAAAGTCTCTGTGATCATAGTAAGAATTTTGCATAGGTAAATGGACATTTGCATTTATATAGACTAAATTTTGATCTAGACAAAAATTTCATCACAGCTTGAAAGAGCATCACAAAATTAGTAATATTCCAGGGTTTCGTTGCGAAATGTTGTAAAATACGGATAATATAGCCTTGCGAAGTTTGCCGTTTTTCAGTCATTTTGTATTACGCACGGGAAATTGACAGCCCAATCGGGTGTTGGGGCATCAATTTCCCGTTTGTAATACAACATGACTGAAAATTGCAAATTTCGCAAGGCTATATTATCCGCATTTTACAACATTTCGCAACGAAACTTTGGAATATTACTAATTGTGTGATGCTCTTTCAAGCTGTGATGAAATTTTTGTCCAGACCAAAATTTAGTCTATAATGCAAATGGTCCATTGTAAGTTTTGAAAGAGTTGCAAGACTAAGTGTTTAACACTGAATCAGTTACCTCAATCATTTCTTACAAATCCTTTAAAACTCAGAATTTACCCATGCAAAATTTTACTGTCATCACAGAAACTTTGATAATGTAAACCTGGTGTAAGAGTTTGCTTTAATAAAGCCCTGGGCAAACTAGGAAACATTGTTGCGGAAACATTGTTGCGGAAACATGGTTTCCTACCAATGTTTCGCCGTGTTTCCAAGAGTGGGCAAACACTAGGAAACATTAGTGAGAAACATAGGGAATTATAATATAGCATTTGTAAATTCTGAACGCTGATTGGCTAAGAGCCGTGTTGATATAACTCAATGTCAACACGGAAACGTCGGAAAATTTCTTTCTTTATGTTTCTTTGTGCTATATTATAAAACAAATATAAAACATACTTTCCGTATTGATATATAGTTATATCAACACTCGTGGAAATTGGAAACCTCGAAATTGTGTGAAACACTCCGCCCTTCGGGCGTCGTGTTTCCACACAATTTCTCGTTTTCCCAATTTCCACTCGTGTTGATATAACTGTATATCAACACGGAAAATGTTTTATATTTGTTAAACATCAAATGTTTCTGAATTTGCTAGGAAACATTTTTGCTTCTCGGGAAGCAAATTTTGTTTCCGCAACAATGTTTCCATGGGTGGGCAAGCAGGGAAACATTTGAGGAAACATCACAAATGTGTCCGCAACAATGTTTTCTAGTTTGCCCAGGGCTTAAGTCGTTGAAAAATTGTTTCATTGACTAATAATGGGTGAAATATAAAATACAAGGTATGGCAGCTAGTTTTCGAACCTGTCTATAACACTGAGACAAAAATCTCGCACGAAAACGAGGCTCGTCGTAGGAAGCCAACAATTTTGTGTGCTAATAGTTTGCTTTGTAATTTTGTTTTAGAGCATAAGATTTAACACATGTTCAAACTCTGGACGATGTTATCAATTTAAAAATGCTTGATCAGATGGTAAGGTCTATAGTGCTAACATATATAATCTATAGAAGAAAGCTTCGCATTGATAGCTTCTTGTATTGTTCAGGTAGCTGTATCCCTATCCATCCGAAGCTTTATTATTTATTGCCACTATGATTGTGATTAGAGCTGAATCAGCTCACTCTCCGTGATCATACATCAAGTATTACGCTTATTTATATTACTTACTAAGCTTAGACTATTCATCAATTGTGATATTATTTTCCTCACAATGTTTATCCTAACCCACCCTGTCAACTTTCCCTGTGGGAGGAATCCGGAGCGCTCGGAGAAAACCCACGACTTTCGGCAGAGTATTGACTGACTCTTTTCACATGAGTCCACACTTGAGTCCATAGCGAGAATGAAACCCACGATCTCAGAGGTTAAAGGCGCCTGCTCTGACAATTCTTAGCCACCGAAGCCCACTAGATTCAAGATTGATAATCGATAGTAGGGCGAAACGTTCAGTCAAATGGAACCACGAGTAACCTGCTTCTTTTAATTAATCTTATATACTGTAAGACCGTTACCCTATGCTGGGAAGTCACTGCATGCTGGAATTGGAAAAAAATTGTTGCTAGCAAGTGATCTCAATTTTTTGTCACGTTAAATCTCTACCGCCTTCTTTGTCCCTGTTCTAGACAAGGTAAAATAAATTCGTCACAGTGAAGAACAAGGAAGCATGTTATCTGGTGAAAAAATAATGGGATTAAACTTGAACAATTAAAATCTAAACACTTGAACAACCTGTCTACTGGAACAATTGGGCACTAAGTGGGCAAACAGACACACATTGCGAGCTTTGTGTTAAATAAACCAATGACCACTCTTGGATATTTGTACAAAAAGGTCACGTCCTTCCATCATTTGATCTTTTGTGTCCAAGAACTGTTGTACAGACTTCACTACTTGTTATGTCTAAGAGAAGCGTTCCAAGTCAAAACATCAGAGAGTGCTAAACCGTGCTTTATGTTAATCATGTTGCCAACAACTGTGATTCGATCTCAAGAAAATTATGTACAAAAAGGTAAGACATTTACAACACTTCAATCCTTCGTATCTTATAAGGCTATGTCAGTTGTGAGATGTCATTAAGATCTTACTTCAAAATTGACATCGATTGTCAGCTATCAGACAAGAGATTTTGACAGTTGTCAGCTTATATTCAAGGCAATTGTGAGCTGTAAGATAGTTTGGAAGATATCGATTCCAAATTGCTCAACCTGTATCAGCTTCAATTAAGATATTTTATAACGTGACAATGATAATATCTATCAGGAAGCACGATTCTGGCTTCCGGATCCAAAGCTTTGCCGAATCAGTAAATGTCTTGTTTAAAACTTCATTGGTAGTATTATTTAAAATGTTATATTTAAATTCTCTCATTAGATGTGATTTCAAGTCACGAAGCATATCAAGGAAAAATCTCTGGCAGAAATGCAATCCCAGGCCCATGTCATGTGTGTGGAGACCGCGCTTCGGGCCGCCATTACGGAGTCGCGAGCTGCGAGGGTTGTAAATCGTTTTTTAAACGAAGCATTCGCTGTCACGTCCAGTATTCGTGCCGGTTCAACTATCAAGCGTGCCCTATTAACGTGAAAACGCGCAGCCGATGTCAGTATTGTCGTTTGCAGAAATGCCTTCGCGTCGGAATGAGAAAAGAAGGTCGGTTCAATTTGTCGACAAGTTTAAACTGAACTAACTTAGTTTATGCTGGATAGCTCCATCAGTTCTAGATTGTTCTCCCTAGAAGTCCACCAACAATCATCCTTAATTAGTCCATTGTTACTGCAAGAGAAAACCTAAACTATAATTAAACTAACTTTATCTATACGAGATAACTCCATCAGTCCCAAACTCATCCAGCTCTTGTTCGTCGAAACTAAACTAACCTTTTACTCTGTAACTCTATCAGTTCAAAAATCTTTCTCAAGGGGTCTAGGAAAGCCTAGGAAATATAAACTACGCTAACTTTATTTGAACTGGAAAGCTGTAACTTCTGATCTGACATTATTCATCTTTTATTTTCTAGCAATAAAGCAGCCAGAAACGACGAACTTCCCCCCACCTCTCCTATTGAGTTGTCCCACAGCTACCCCTCACCCTTACCCTTACAAAGCCCCCACCCAACACCCCTTACCTTCTCCCCACCTGACGTCCCTCGTGCGAGCAAACTGGCTCGCAAGATGCCGGGAGCCGATAAAATATGTAACCCTAGTTAACGTCCCAATGAAACAAGAACGAATTACCACACGAATCTTGCGATACATCGTCGAGTGGGCGAAGTCGCTACCTTTCTTCATGAATTTGTGTGAAAGTGATAAACAGTCGATGCTCGAAGCGTGTTGGCTCGAGCTGTTTTTACTCGTAGTCACTCAGTATCAGTTACTGCCCGATTTGGCAAAGTTGTTGTTGTTGTTAAAGGGGCGCAATGTGGATAAAACAGTGCGTCAGATCGAGATTGAGGTTAACAGGTGTAGAGCGTTGAATTGTGATGACATTGAAATGGAATGCTTGAAAGCGATTGTACTTTATAATGCAGGTAACACTAGAAGACAAAGTTGGTTTGGTATAGGTTTCCTCTTGTAACACCACCCAACCGTAACGGAACCTGGATGGTCCTTGCTGGACCTCTAGGAAAAACATATTAGAACTGATAGAGTATTTATAAAATTAGTTTAGTTTTGGTTTCCTCCTGTAGTAACACTGGATCAATAAGAGATGATCCTTACTGGACCTCTAGGAAGAACAGTTTAGAACTGATAGAGCTATCCAGGATAAATAAAATTAGTTTAGCTTTGGTTTCATCCTGTAGTAACACTGGATCAATAAGAGATGAATCCTCACTGGACCTCTAGGAAGAACAGTTTAGAACTGATAGAGCTATCCAGGATAAATAAAATTAGTTTAGCTTTGGTTTCATCCTGTAGTAACACTGGATCAATAAGAGATGCATCCTCACTGGACCTCTAGGGAGAACATATTAGAACTGATAGAGCTACCCAGGATAAATAAAGTTAGTTTAGTTTAGGTTTCCTCCTGTAGGAACACTGGATCAATAAGAGATAGAACTGATAGAGCTATCCAGTATAAATAAAGTTGACTTAACTCAATCTCTGGAGACCACGTCTTAGAATTGATAAGGATATCAACTTAGGGATATATAGGGATTTAGAACTGACAGAGCTATCGACTTTATTTTTCAGACTGTGTAGATTTAACAGATGAATTAACAACGCGACGTTTGCAAGAGGAGATCCTAGTATCCATGGACGACCACGTACGTTCCAGATATCCCAATATATCCATAGCCCACCTTGGTCGTATCCTATTGTACCTACCGAGATTACGTTACGTGAAATTCCTAGTGCCCCGAGATTTTATATTTCCCGAAGTAACAAAAAATCCTGATTTTATATCAACATTCATAAAAGATGTCTTATATTTGCCATCAACATTTAGAAGTGATCCAAAAATTGTTAGCTACAATGCTTTGCCTCGTTGAACAATGGTTTGGTCGGCCAAATTCTTCGTTCTGGACATATTATATAAATAGAAGTATAGAAATATACAGTGGAGAAAAAAGAAAATTATTTATAGTCATGAAATGAATGTACGTGTCAATCATTTTACTCCAGCATTTCTTTGAAGGCAGTCAAACTATGATCACGTGATAGGGAATAAAAATTACCATTTTCCGCGGTTTGATTTTCATTAAATTCCATTCCTCAAAATCTAAATCGTATCGATTGTATCCAATATGTATCTTCTACTCTGTGCCCTAATCGTAAAATCGTAGTGGATCCATTGAACTATAAATAAACTTTATTTATTTATAGTTCAATGAGTGGACCTTCCTGAGTGGCGAAATTAAGTGGCGATGGAATGAAATTAGCCTGCGTAGCAGGCTGTATTAGCGGGCAGGCGAACTGCGAAGGGCGGGAGTTTCGAGTTAAAATGGCGTGTTGTAAAATTACCAAAAATATTATTTTGTAGTAAAATTAATGCCATTATTACATTAAATCTTAACTCAAATGCTGTATATCAGTACATGCAACTCAGGTATGTATTTGTTTTGTATTTAATTGAATAAAAATCGATAACATTGACTTATTTTGGTGTTTAATACCGCAAAGATTGTTGCAATCATCAAATCAAAGCACGTGCGCCTAGGGATGGATATAAGTTTTTTCAGAAAAAATCTTACAGTAATTCTTATATTCTATATGCACCGATCAAAATGAAGCTGTATTATCCCCCCTGGGCCTGTGAGGGGCATTTGCCATTCATGATTTTCCCTAGGGGCGGGCATTTGTTGTCAAGAAAATTTAAAGTGGTGGGACATTTGATTACCCTGGAAAGAGCCTCTGGCAACCAGGGTAACATCTGATTTGATTTGATTCCACTTAATAGGGGTGATGTCCATATTCATGTTGCCACAAATAACGTCAAATTGACAATATGAGTGGGTGGGTTTTTATGTGAACTTATTGACATTATCTTGTGGCAATTTAACAATTAATGTCCAAAGTAACTATCACAGTACAGATTTTGTATCATAAATACAAAAGTCAAAATACGACCGAATGTCGATCGACGTTATCTGGGGTGGGTGGGTGGTTGGGTGAAATAATGTTGATTTGACGTTATTTGTGGCAACATGAATATGGACGTGGCCCCTTATAATGACTATTACTGTCGTTCTAATTGAAGTGTTGCTCAAATATTGATTCAATACATTACCTCGGGCTGACCAATTCATTTCATCAAGTTCCTCGAGACATTCATACACTTCCTAGTATAATTGTAAACTTCCTGTTGAATAGTTTGAATGCACCAGTCACCTTTGTTGTTTGTGCAACTAACCAATCATAAATAGAAAGGAAGTGACCAGAAATGATCAAATACTTGGAATTGGCTCTTTCACGGGAAGTGTATGAATATCTCGAGGAACTTGATGAAATGAATTGGTCAGCCCGAGGTAATGTATTGAATCAATATTTGAGCAACACTTCAATTGGAACACTTCAATTGGAATTTATGTCATTTTTCATAAGTGGGCAAAAAACAGCAAAAAAGTAAGGCTATAGCCTTAACTCTTCGTCCATTTTTACCGACTTATGGCATTTTTCATAAGTGGGCAAAAAAGTAAGCCTATAACCTTAACTTTTCGTCCATTTATACCCACTTATGGCATTTTTCATAAGTGGGCAAAAAACAGCAAAAAAATAAGGCTATAGCCTTAACTTTTCGTCCATTTTTAGCCACTTATGCATTTTTCATAAGTGGGCAAAAAAAACCCAGCAAAAAAGTAAGCCTATAGCCTTAACTTTTCGTCCATTTTTACCGACTTATGGCATTTTTCATAGGTGGTCAAAAAACAGCAAAAAAGTATAGCCTTACTTTTTTGCTGTTTTTTTCCCACTTATGAAAAATGCCATAAGTCGGTAAATAAAAAGTATATGGTCAGAATTTCGCCTGTATGAAATAGAGGTGTGCAAATCCGATTTGTTCAGATTTCGGAACCAAAATATTCATTTTGGATCGGATTGATAAAGTTGTTTCGTAGTTGGATGGGACTTGATGTCCAATATAAAATGAATTAATTAATAAAGTAAAAAAAGCAACTTGTGGTTCCGGTTTCATATCGCGGTAGTCCCCCCCCGTCCATGACACTTGTGACGTCAGTTACATACGGGACTTCGGGGGCGGGTTTTGGCGGGAAAATCTGTAATGTTTGGAGAAGACAAGATGGCGCTGGTTACCTCGTGTTATATCAAAGGGCATTTTTGTTCACAAATACCCGCTTATTTTACGTTATAGCGACTGGTTCGTTTTGGAAATTATAACTCAATGGACGGGGAAAATGATTCTGTATTAAAGAGAAAAAGATGTGCAGTTATTGTGATGTTATTTGTTGTGAAAGACGGCCCGAAATTTCGCT